GAGGCGGCAGCGAGACTTGACACGAAAAACGGGATAAGAAGGAGAGTGCTCCTTCCTTGTCGTTGGAATGACAAGTACGCAGATTGGGAGGTGGCAATTCATCGGTCTCTTCAACTCATCACTGCGGAAATTAGTGTCTGTTCATGCAAGGATTTGCATGAAAGGATTGCAGAAGTCATCCCCACAAGGGTGTACGTGTTGGGGGACAGGAAGGAAATGGAATGGGAAGGACAAGACACCGGCTGGAAGGAAGCAAAGGTGGACTTCAGACCGATCATGATGCACTTAACCGACACGACAATCTTAAAGGAATACCTCATATGGATGCTAAGGCAGGTAGTGGAAACGATTCCCTATGGCCTACTAGGGGGAGATGTGGTGCTGAAATGGGCAGCAAGAAGCACAGCCATAGTAGTGGAATTGGATGCATTTGCATGAAAGCCAGAGTACTTGGAGAAGAGGATCGAGCCACAGGCGACTAGGATAGATTTGGCGGCTCATGGCTCCTGAACTAGTACAGGGATGCTAAAGGTTAGTAGAAGCGGATTAACCTCTAATGGAGCAATGGGTGGAAGGGGGGCAAGTTAAGAAGGTCAGGACACAACAGGTAAGAAACCGCACTCCGCAACTAAGAATCACATCATGGAATGTGAATGGGCTGGCACAAGTCTGGGACAATCAAGATAAGTGGGGAAACATCACAAAGCACATATGGTGGTTTGAAGCAGATGCCCCCGACTTTCTATGTTTACAAGAAACACACCTAACAGGAACTCCGGAGCACCAATAGACACAAAGCAGACTCCTACAGAAGCTAAGATGGGCCAATATGTCAGTCTGGGCACCAGGGGGGAGACCCCATTCGGCAGGAGTGGCAATACTACAGAATGGGAGGGCAAGAACCGAAAAAAAGATTGTAGCGAGGGACACTCAAGCAGATACAACAGAAGGAAGGTGCACAAAAATAGACTTTACGTTCCAAGAGGAGGAATATACACTACTGACGGTCTATGGTCCAAATGGGGCTCAACAGAGACCGCAAATGATAAAAGAAACACAGAAAACACTTGAACCAGACAGACACCTCATTCTAGTAGGGGACTGGAATGCCGCTTTGGACCCCGGTATGGACCGCATGACAGGAACAGGCAGACAACGGGAAGGGGGGGTAGGAGAGGAGGCATGGGTAATACATAACATGATGGTGAGTAGAGAATTGATAGACACGTGTAGACTGCATTTTTCGGAGGAAAAACAGTTCACCTACTATAAGAGAAATCGTAGCCAGCACGTGTCGGCCTCCCGTATAGATTATTTCTAATTTCCCTGGGTCTAACATGAATGATTCATAAAGTAGGGATAGGGGATATGCCTTACACGACTGGATTAGGCCACAAGCCCATATTCCTACACATAATCACTGACAAGCAGGTCGAGCGGGGGAAGAGTTTCTTTAAGATAAATAATTCACTACTCCAAACTTCAGAGATGAGACAAACGATAGCAGAGACTTGCATGAAGCACAGACGGGAGGAACAACGCTTCCCGGATCTTCTTAACGGGCTAACAACAGCCTCAACAACGGTAGCCAGATAGATGGCGGCTAAACGAAAGAGGAGGGAACATGAGCTACAACAAGCGGTTAGAATAGTAGAAAGGAACCTGGTCAGAAGCCTCAGAATGGTCATGTACGAAAGAACTTCGGAAGTAGCAAAAAACGAGCTAGGTGAGTGAGCGAGATGAAGAATGTGAGGACTGCTATTGCGAGCGAGAGTTAGGATATGGGAAGAGGGAGAGCGGATGACGAAGTACTTCTTCCACAAAATCAAGACCAACGGGAGGAACGCCCTCATAGAGCAACTGCAAGGACAACAAGATATCACGTCAACAGCAGAGGGAATGGTGGAAGTAGCACATGGTTTTTACAAAAACCTGTATACCTCAAGAGAGTCTTAGCACCATCCACAACAAGTAGCTAACGAAAGGAAAAAATTATTAAGCTACCTAGAACCAACAGTCCCCAACACACAGGCAACAATGCTAGATGCCCCACTATCGCTGGTAAAGCTAGAAGAAACCCTTATGTCCATGACTCTTAATAAGACGCCGGACAAGGATGGCCTGACTAGGGAGTTCAGGTTGGAGTTCTAGTCGATCCTAGGGGAAGAATACAAAGCATTCTTGAAACAGGTATGGCAGGAAGAGGGTTTGGGGCAGGACCCAACTACAAGAATAGTTACACTGCTCTATAAAAAAGGAGATCCGAAGGACATACGAAACTATAGACCGATAACTATTCTAACCTTGGCGCACAAGATAGTGGCCAAAGCATTAGCTAATAGGTTTTGACGGGTGACCGCAGGATGATTCCATTTGGATCAAACTGGTTGTTGGTACGATATATTAAGGACAAAAGAATAAACTCAACAATCCTCTTCTTCGATTTTGAAAAGGACTACGATCAAGTGAATTGGGACTTCCTTCAGCAGTGTATGGAGAGGATGGGGGTAGGACCGGACTTCCAAAAGTGGATCAGAGTTATGTACAATGATGCGGACAAGTCCAAGTCAGCATCCACCTTTCAACAAGATATAAGATGTCTCGCTCGGTCAGACAGGGAGATCCCCTAACAACTCTCATCTTCTTGTTCATCATGGAGGTCGTTGCCTCGTTCTTGAGGAAGGATCCCTTGATACAGCGATTGATTACGACACTGGATCAGCAGGGAAGGCAAGTGCAACTCCCCACAACTTTGATGTTTGCAAATGACCAGACGGTGCTGATCAGAGCATCTGATTCCTCCTTCCAAACGTTGACAAGAGCTATGAAAGCCTTCCAACTAGCGTCGAAAATGAAAATTAACTGGCCAAAGACCATGGGCTGGTGGCTGACAACCCAGGAAGGAGAGGGATTAGACCCTTCCATTAACCCGGAAGGACTACAATGGACCACAACACAAGCCCCACTAAGATACTTGGGAGTTAAGATAACGGAAACAGATCCGCATCACTCCATGGTAGCCAAGCTAATGACCAAGATCCTAGCAAAGTTGGGGGCATGGTCAGCAATCTATACTTCGGTGTTTGGGAGAGCGCTCATCTTAAATGCATCCATCTTCTCAATGATGTGGTATGCAGGGACAATCTGGAGTCCCCCAGCTCAAACGACAGCAACACTACGAAGAAAAGCTTCAGCGTACCTGTGGACCTCGGATCCCATCCCAACAAGCCTAACTTCATTACTAAAGTGGCATGGAAGCATGTTACGAAGCCAAAGGAACAAGGAGGCCTGGGCATAATAGATCCAGACCAGCAGCTCAAACCTCTGCAAACAAAATGGGTAGTCAAACTGATCATCCATTAAAAACTGTCGTGGGTACCACTTGCCCTCGATAGAATCGGACAAATGGCGAAGTACACTACACCAGCCAACATGTCAGGGCTGTTCTGATTCATGTGGAACATCTGGGCGAAAGTAGGGAGAGGTCCAAGGGAGCAGACATGTAACGAGGACGGAACCCGGACAAACACCTACTGGCAGCAGCTGCTGAAATTATGGAAGGAAATTTTCCCTGCCAGAGTCAAAGAGCCAAGGGAGCAGACGTGTGACGAGGACGGAAC